TTTTTTTTTCACATTTTTCTATTTTATGTATGCCATATATTGGCATATGGTATATTGCTGACCAATATATCGATTATCGTCATAAAGTGATATAATCGTTATCGTGAGCTTTGTATTGCGTATCGTGAGGTATCCTTAGGTTCCCACCCCTAGTCATTGGTGAGTTAATATTATTTTAAAAACAATAATCACATTCTAAAAGATGGCCAAAGTAAATATTCTCAAGATCTTGTTTCAGGGCCAAAATTGAAAGAAATCCCTAAAAGCTTAGGTTTCAATTTCAATTGATTTTTTTTTTTCTTGTATTGCCGTAAATCACATCAGTGGGGGCAAAATGTTCAACATAAATGTTGAACATTTTTATTGGTACTGGTATTGAGGTTGGGATTGTGCATACATTTATGATAAACTTAACCATATTACCATGACACATTTAAAGTTGTAAGGTTCTGTAAACTAGGGGGAGGATTATATGATTTTTCACAGAATTAATTTGTTGTGATGAAACCGAATTCTACCCATTTACTTTTTGTTTGGATTTGTATAGAACGTGTCTCATATGCCTCCTCACTACATTTTTTCCTGTACACCTGTGATTTGAGAAGGGTTGTTCCTGATTGTAGACGTCACCATAATCTCTCTTTTATGTCATTTTCCTGTTTATCAAATCCCCTAACACTCATCCTCCCCACTCATGCTTATTTAATCATTGTGGACGTCTAATGAAATCCCCACTGAAATGGACAATTGTTGCTTTGAGAATATTTATAGAAAGGAATAATCAGCCCGCTTGTGTTTGTCTACACGGCCTCCTCCCAACAGCCCTCTCTTTAAAGAAATAATTAGCTGAAGACAGGACTGTGAGCGCTCTGAGCGAAACAACAGGCAGACGGCGCAAGAGCAGGGAATCGTGGGTAAACAACAGCAGTAGCATGGGCTCCAGAGTCGACAATTTGACTTTATTATGATTAATGTGATTACCACAGACTACACGGGGTGACATAGTGTGTTCTGCTATAGGAGAACCATGGCTTCAGTCCAGATGAGTCAGATTTGGTCTTGGCAAAAGACTAAGACTAAAGCCTAGTTTATACTCGCGCGGCGCGGAGCTTACGGAGGTGACGTGACGTCACTTGCGCAACGTGTTGGTCACCGCAAGGCCCTTAGCCTAGTTTATACTCGCGCGGCGCGGAGCTTACGGAGGTGACGTGACGTCACTTGCGCAACGCGTTGGTCACCGCAAGGCCCTTACGTCGCCTGCCGCGCAGCATCGAAATTTTCTAACTACGTAAGGGTCGCCGCAAGGAATCTCCGCTGTGATTGGTCCGTGTGTGTGTATTGGAAGGAAGCATGAAGCGGCTGCAGCAGGAACATGGAGGAGGCACTATGGAGCAGAGAGCTTTGTGCTTCGAAGGAAAAGCAGTTTGGGCTCAGAACCTGATATACAGGAGACTGTGGACTATCTAACATATATATAACATATATATAACTTATAAACTGTGCAGTCGTTTGTTTTGCACTGTTCCTGTCTTGTTTGAATCGTAGCTGCGTTTGTTGCTTTCCTCCTGCACTCGTAAATCGTTCATGTTTGTCTCAGATATTTGCCACTATATGTTTTGCTGTTTGTGCTGAAAACTATTTAATAATAACCATGTTTCCAACAAGAACTGTGTCTTTATTCACAGCATCACAGTTGAAATGACTTATAAAATAATGAATCCATAAAACTATCACATAAACCTACAGTAGAAACACGTGTAATGAGCTCAAACAGCTTTGTTTGTTATTGTTGTTCTGAAGAGGACAAAGTAGCAGCGTAAATGGGACCACTCCTGTGTGATCGCCCTCATGTGGTGTGTTGTGGGATTACAACATTCTCCTCAACTCCGTAAGGGGAACGCGCCAGTATAACATCAATTGTGCTTACGTAGGTCCACCGCAACCGCTAACGTAAGCCACGCCGCGCAAGTATACACTAGGCTTAAGGACATCAGACAACCTTTCTGCATATTTAATCGGCAGGAGATATGACTGCATCTTTTCATACTAAAACAGATCATTGGCCTTTGCGCGATTTCACTACACACTCGTTATAATCTGTTACGCACTCTGCCAAAAGGTTTTTATTTCTTTGTTTGAACAGTGATTATAAATAAAACTAAAATAACTCAAGTCCAGCAACACCTAGATTGTTGTTGTCTGATATTCTTTTATGTCAAATGACAATATTAACAGTAATTCAGGGATATCCAGGCATACAGTTTCAGGGTGTGTAATACTAACCTTAACCCAACTCAATAAGACAAATTACCTCAGGCTATACAATTGGAGATTATTTTTTTTCACGTAAATAATCCATATCTAGAACACGCTGTCCTCTTATTTGAATTTTTGTTTTCTTCATTTTTTAGAAAAATAAATATCTGTTGTGGTCCAAGCCCAAAAAAGGCATGTATGTACCTAACTTTGAAGCAACACACATTAAACCAAGTAATATAACACAAGTTGACAGCCAAAAAATGGTCAGGGGTTTCTCAACTGATTTAGACTAATTTTGGTGTTCTGAGTCCGAATATCACATGCATTTTGCTCTATCAGGTCAACTTTTTGAGATACAGCCATAGTGTTACGGATTACGTACGTCTACGTTATGAATTCTGCTTATCAAATTTGATGGAGTAAATAAAAACTGAATGACTTTGGATACGTTGACTTTTATTTCTTGAGGAAAACGGGAAAAAGGTCAAGGGTTTCTCAGCTGATGATCCGCAGAAATTAGTTTTTTAGTAGCTCGGTTGGTAAAGTGTTGGTCTTTGGACCTAATGGTTGTGGGTTTCGATCCCACCATGACCCTGGTCACCTGGGCGGCACGGCACGGTGGCTGAGTGGATAGCACTCTCGCCTCTCAGCAAGAAGGTCCTGGGTTCGAATCCTGGTTGGACCAGGGCCTTTCTAAGTGGAGTTTGCATGTTCTCCCCGTGTCTGCGTAGGTTTCCTCCGGGTGCTCCGGTTTTCCCTACCACTAAAAATATGTACAATAGGTCTGGCATGTGCCTCCTGTTCTGGCACTCCCACTCCCAAAAAAAAAAAAAAACAATTGTAAACCGCTTTGAGACTCCGATGTGCAGTGAAAAGGCGGTATATAAATAAAGATTACTTACTTACTCCCACTGATGTCTGCTGTTGTTGTGTCCCTGGGTGAGACACTTAACCCCACTTTGCCCAAAAGTCCCCCCTGAAAGATCACAGCCATCTTCCTGTGGACCCACCACCTGCAGAGGATCAGCGAGGGACTGGCGCTTTGTGAATTACCCTGACCCAGAAATGGATAATAAAGGGATGAAAATGAATGAATAGTTCCTAGGTCTCAAAACTGTTTGGGTCAATCATTAGTTTTCACGTGCATGTATTTTTGGTCTCTGTCACATCTTAAGATCAAAGAGTGCCAGCTCTCTTAGCAAATAAGCTCAGTCTGCAAAAGATTGTGTGAAACAGATGTGTGTTTTGGTCTAATTTGTTCACAAATTCTGTGGGAACAAACAAAATGTTTTTATGAAAAAAGTGAAATAGTTTCATTGTATGTGGTTTGAAAATGAGGCACCCCAGCTTTGATCGTGTAATTACGAGACGTCTCTACTATGACTGAAGGAGCATGTTTGTACACAACTTACATGGAGGATACCTGTGTTTTCTGCTGGCTTGTCACACCCGCGGTCGCGCTGCCACTCTCCCCATCACCAGGAGCCCCTCTGCTTCCCCTCTCCCTCTGTCTCTTCTTTCTTTATCATTCCAATCTGATTCATGTGTCTTCTATTTCCCCCTCTTCCACTATTTTTGTTTGTCTCGTGGCTGACAGCGCGAGTGGATGAGTGGTTGTGCAGCGTCGGCTTTGACAGCAGTCTGGGAACCGAGCTGTCAGTCACCGCAGCTCCTTGGTCCCAGTGTCTTTGTGAAGTCGCTCTCCATTAATATAATAATGGCGTGTAGTCGGCAACGCTGAATATTTTACTGTAATGTTTCGGCAGAACATTACCCCCGCACTCAACACCACACACAAGAAGTCTCCGGGAAAACTTTTCATTCTGACTGAGAGGTCTTTGTGCGGCCTGTTTCATCTTTCGCAAGGTTTTTTGCGTTTTTTGTTGTTTTCTCTTTCACCGCTTCAGGAAAAGTACCGGGTCTCAGTTTGATAAAGTGACGGAGAGTTGTCTTTTTCTTGTCAAACATCTATTATTGACACTTTCCAGGAATAGACCCGGAGTGTTTTGTGTTTGATTTGTGTTGTCGTCATCTCCAGAAAACCATGTTGGGTGCGCAGGCTAAACCATCAAGTACATCTTCCTGATCAAACCCGTGTTCAAAAGTCACATTGTGTCTTTTGTGTGTACTGTAATGTAGTTGCTCTGAGATGTATCAAAGGGGCAAAGGTGCCATGCCCACTTTTAGTTAACAATTATTGCCAAAAAAAGACATTATACATGGGAATTTGTAAAGTGTACACTGCAAAAAGTGCTATAATAATAAGAGACAGATTTATAGTTAAAGATATTTTATCTTCATTTAATATTGATAGTCTTTAAAATAGATCATTGGATCATGGAATATAATCTATCATAAAAATTGAACATATATGACATGAGACTAAACTAAAAAAGAAAACAAACGCTATGCACTTGAATAAGGAGCCTGGACGTTTTTGCTAATTGCTTTGCAGCGTCTCCGTCTAAACGTTTGCCTCAGTGCTATGGTGTGGTCTAAAGCCAGATGTGATTTTGTTTAGTTTGATTTTTAAGTTATTAATTTTATTTAAAAATGTTAATTTTAAATGTGTTTTTAGTCATTTTTGTGGCTTCAAAAAATTGGCTACACAGATTTATTTTTGTAGTGTAATGCTCATATACCTGTATTCATTCGTTAAAAAGTCTGTCCTGTCTTGCCTTTTCCTTTTAGCATGCATGTTTTTAAAGCAGTTGTTGTGATCCTCTCTCCCTCGCACACAGGTGAGCAGGGCGCAGTCACCATGTTTCCCCTCTTCCTCTTGGATCACCACATGTCGGCCCGTGAGCTGGGCTTCTGGAACGGCATCATCGCCATGGGCTTCTCCATCTGTGGCTCGTCTCTGGGAGGACTGCTGCTCGCCCAGTTCAGGTGAAAGATCAAATACTGGCACCTATTAGAAATCAACATTACAGATCAAACGGGTCGTTAACCTGTAGAGAAAGTAAAGATCTAGAATAAGCAGTAATATTTCATGGCAAAAAAAAAAATCTGTTTGAAGTTGATTTAATTACACATCCCTTCCCCTAAATGTTAGTAGACAGTAAAAATCTATTCGCAAGAAATACTTCATTCATATGGGTGTAACATAAAGCTACTACTTCTAGATCTCTGTCCTCATTCACAATCAAAATGATGAGCACATAATTGTTATACTGAGTTTGTTACTCTGTTATTATGGTTTAGTGAAGAAAGACAAATGTGACTGGATCTCTGTTTGACTATGCATCAGATAATTCTACAGGCTATGATAATATTTGTATGGATAAGAAAAGGCAAGGATTTCATGATGTCCTCAAGTGCGCATAATATCAAAGATCAAATGTGGTAAAAAAAAAAAAAAAAAGCTCACACAGGTTTTCTTCGATCTAAACAATTAATCATTCAGTCAAATAAGTAGTCGATTTACTAACGGAAAAGTAAAATGTTTATTACTCAACAATATTTAAGTATGAGGCCAACCTTACATTTCTTCCATTGGACCAACACTCCATCCATCAGACACATCCTCACCTGCTCCTCTTTCCTGCTTCCTATGTCCCCCCCCCCCCCCCCCCCACCACAGCTGCTCTTACAACATATATTATACATGCACTTAACCTTTTTCATGTGTACTGGCTGTAATGTCTGTGTAAGAGTATGCTTTTTACGTAAACAAAATCTGGTTTTAAGTACTCAGGGATGTCATGTCAAAAGGGATTTCAGGACACGGATTTTAGTAATAGTCATAGTAGTTTTATAGGTGTTAATTTTACACCAACAAAAGTCATAAAGTTTCTTGTTAATGATATTGTCCAATTAGTTTAATTGTAGATATCTCATGCAGCACTGGTTATTTCATGATTACATTGTCATTTGTCATTAAAAAAAATAAAATCTTCAAACTCTATTCTCACTGATGCTCCCCCCGTTGTCCCCCTAAGCTAATTTGTATTGTGCATTTGGTGCCAAAACAGTTGCGTAAGATACATCTGCGTTTACTAGTTTTGTGTTATATGTAGCGCTGCTCTGCCTATGGCCAGAGTGACGTAAGCTTTTCTAAAAATAACAACGATAGCATTATGAAGCATAGTGGCTCCTGTCGCATTATGCATTACATACTGTGGCTCCAGCCTCAGATCTGCCCTTTTATATACAGAAAGATGAGACTGAATGTTATTTGTTTCCTCATCTCATTTACTATCTTAAAGTTAGTAGAGTAACTCATGCATCTTGAGTGTTATACAGGTGAAACTCGAAAAATTTCATTTTCGTTCTAAAGTCCATTTCATAATTCACCGTACAATGTGAAACTAATATGGGAAACTCAAATTACATGGATAGTGAGTTATATCAAGCCTTTATTTATTATTATGTTAATAATCTAGGCTCACAAGGAGTGAAAAAGCCAAATAAAACATCTTAGAAAATGGAGTGTAAGCAATCAGACCAATATAGACAAAGGCTTAACATGTAATTTTGCATGTAATAAGTCCTTCTTCTTAATCCATTTCTGGGTCAGGGGGAATTCACAGAGCACAAGCCCCTCACTGATCCTCCTGCAGGTGGTGAGTCCACAGTAGGGTGGCTGCTCTGTCGGTGACAGCAAAGCCTTGATCTTTCAGAGGGGGGCTCAGGTAAAGTGGGGTTGAGTGTCTTGCCTAAGGACATGACAACAGCAGACATCAGTGGGGGTCGGGAGCATTTTGGCTCAAATGAAAAACTAAAATGTGCTGTTCAGTCATTTGCCGTTTGAAAATGCAGTGAGTGGTCCGACTGTATTCTGGAACGGTATTTGCTGCCAGTGTAACGGTCTCGGCCTCACAGTTGAATTGTGTGTTCTGTTTGACAGATCTGTGTTATCTTTGTTATGTGTCTTTTGCTCTTCGCTCTTTCAGGCTTTTTGTCATGTTTTCATAGGACTCCCAAGTTTTTTTTCTCTTCTTGTTGTAAAGTGACACTGGTAAACACAGTGCAAGACTCCAAAGGCCTATGTTTCTTAAGGGAAAATAGTCTTTGAAAAGATGTCATTGTCATAGTTTAGCTTTGTATTTTTCTCCGCTCTTTCTTTACAAATCTCTGTTCAAACGCTTGGTGGATGGTTGACTTGTAAACTGTTCACACACTAACAAAGAGAAACGCACTTGCCATGAATCCTTTTAATGAGGCTCTATGGTCCAGTGTTTGATCCACTATTTCAGTCATGAGATGGGGATGAAAAAAGTAAGGCAGTTCATATCATTATTATAACATCTTTTAGTGTCTTTTTAATCCAAAACCTAGATTTATTTTCTATTTTTTCAAATCTGTACAAATTAGATGCATAGTTTTATTTGGTCTAGATGACTATACAATCATTTTTAGACCAACACACATATTGTGCTTTGATTTGATATATTTATAATCTATGACACTTATATGTATGTTGTGTTTATGGTGTAACTTGAACGTTTTAAATCTCAATCTTCATAACAAATAATTAAATGAAAGGAATGACTACCGTTACTTCTATCATGAGCATGTCATGTCGTCATGTTATTTTCATCCCCTTTATTATTCCATTTCCAGTTCTATCTATGATAATTTCCATATTTATTTGCATCTACCCATTTGTTTACCAAAGCGGTATACTATGCTTCAAAGCTGTAATAGGGCAAAAGATCATCGCAGTTGCAATCATCAGCGTTTTATTTGTGCCAAAATTCCGTACTACCTTGTCCAATGTGTACCACAAATGGAAAAAAAATAAAATCAACCACTTAAAGAACATTGGAGTGTGTGTACAGTGGTGGAAAAAATTGTTATGTTGAGTCAAACATGCATAAATCACTCTGTGGCTACATGAAAATGCAAATTAATCTTTTGTATAATACGTCACATTTATAAAAACTTATGGCCGTACAGCAGTTGGTTGCATGTGAACTGAGGAGTAGGCTCTGGTCCCACCTTTAAAAGCTCAGCTGGAAGGTTTCTGCAGATCCCGAATCCGCCATCAGAAGCGCTTGAGTGGTCAGTGAGTGACCCCCCCCTTTACAACCAGCACCAGAGGCAACCTGAGAATAAGTCTATTCTTATCTGGGACCGGCCCGTGTGAGGTGGCAGCCAGGCAGGTTCTCTTTCTCTCACACACACGGAAAACACACACACCGCTGCATCTCCCCAGAGTGAGTGATATGAAAGGGTGTCATTGAGAAGGCAGCACTGAGGAGAATGTCTTTAGCATGTGAATGATGCAGGATTGGTTTTCCTCCGCAGAGCAACGAAAGGCCGAGAGAGGCACAGAGAGAAGGGGTGGGCTGAAAACCAGAACAACACGAAGAAATGTATTCAAATATTGGACTTAGGTGGTCATTATGCATTGAATTTAATCAGCAATTATAATGGGATGGAATACAAACACATTTAGTCAAGTATTGAGATGAAGATGGGTTTATAAGACACAAGTTCAAATGTGGTGGTGGAGTGAAACTGGAACTCTTATAATAACAACATTGTTTCAAAACTTTCATGTCGTAGGCGGCAGTAGCTCAGTTGGTAGAGCGTTGGCCTTTGAGCCAGAAGGTCGTGGGTTCAAGCCCCGCTCAAGACTTTCACCATGGACTCCCACTGACTACTGTCGTTGTGTCCTTGGCAAGACACTTAACCTCTGGGAACACCAGCCACAGTGGGGCGGCTGCGGCTGTAAAGTGCCAAACTGCTGTTGTGTCCTTAGGCAAGACACTTCACCCCCATTGCCTAGAATGAGTCTGGTGTGTGTGTGTGAATGGTTGGTGGTGGTCGGAGGGGCCGATGGCGCATACTGGTTGCCTCGCTTCTGTCAGTGTGCCCCAGAGCAGCTGTGGCTACAGTAGTAGTTTATCACCACCGTGTATGGAGTGAATGAATAATGACACATGTGAAGCGTCTTTGAGTGTCCAAAAAAGCGCTATATAAAACTGATGCATTATTATTATAGTGCCTTTCTGTTTACCATGTGATACTAAGGAAGTTCCATACCTTACCTTTTGATTGATCTATACATAATGAGTGCGGAGTATGATGATCTTCATAGTTAAAGGCACATCAAATACTACCACTACACTATGCACAGTTGTATGACAGCCACTACTGCTTCATTCAATCATTATAATTTATCATATTGGTATGATGACAAAATGACAAAACATGATAATCTCTGTAATCATTTTAGTGTCATTAAAGACAAGCAGTGTAAGAAATGCAAAGTTATTCAATCCCCAACAGCTCAAGGCTAATCAACAAAAACACTATCGCAAAGTAAAAATGTACACACACAAAACACATTTTATAATCATGTGACAGGCCAAATGTATTGCTCTTAATGCAAGGCCTCTGCGCACATTCGTACAGCTAAATAATTAGATAGAAAAAACATGTAAACAAACGCAGTAGTGTTTGAGTGGCAGGTCGTCCTCTGAGTGATTGGCACCGTTCAGCCCCGTATGTGTCGTGTTTGTGTGTGTGCGCCGCTAACGCTGATTAATTACCCCTGTCATGCTGGGGATCTCCTTAGGTTATTGATTACGTCATGAAGCAAACCCACAGGGGGACCTTTTTCTAGCACTAACAGGGAAATCAATTAGTGTCTGGAGACTTGTTTACCGGCTCATGTGCACATGCAGTTGTGTGTCTGTGTGTGTGTTTGTGCGTGGCGATAGAGCGGAGTTTGTTGGATCCAACTGCTCATCGATATCGCGCAGGAGAAGTTGAGTGCGAGTCCTTGATTGGTGCTCTGTGTTTTGGTCTCCTCCGCAGCATCGGGGCCCTGATGCGGCGCGTGTTTGTGCTGAGAACCATCAGCATGGTCTTCCAGAGTTCTCTGCTCACTGTGATCGAGCCGTCTCCTCTCATGAAAGGTGAGGCCAGGCTGTCCACACACAGTTACGCAATGTTCAGACTACATATGATTCTGTTTAGTCATGATGCAGTAGTTTCTGATCTCCCCGTAGGTTCTTGGAAGATCAGGGGGACATAAGTTTATTGCTATTCAAATAATTTCATCTTAACCAATTGGCCACCATTTTCCTTTTTTCTCTTCAGAAATTTGATTTGCGATACAGACAAGACCTAATCTGTGTAATAGATAGAGGACTACTAAAATAGATAACAGACATACTGTACAAGAGAAAGATGTAAGAAAAATATAGGGAAAGGTTTGTGGAAAGCCAGGTCGCTGTATAGAAAGTGTCAATTCTGAAACTTTGGGGCCTGAGCGGTGTTGTAGAATTACATACCCCAATGAAGGAGAAAGCTCAAAGGTATTTGTCTTAATCAGGAGCGTAAGTTTATTGTACACACGTGCGGAGAGCTCACATACACAAAGCAGCGTCCATAAGCTCTGGCGCGGCCAGACCAGGTTCCTGTTTACATAGACAACACATGAAAGACAGTCACGCCCACAAAAGATGGGAGGGGGTCACCAGTACAGGAGGCGCATCCAGAGGCGAGGCGCCTAGTCCGGGGGGAGGCAATCAGACCGTGCCATAGAGATGCAAACAGAGAGACAATGGACATGCAGGATGTAGAGATGCAGACATACAGATGCAAGATGCAAAAGGGACAAGGGTGAGACAGTCATTGTCTGTAGGTGCGGGGGGAAGCCCGGCTCCTTCCTGCAGGTTTAATTGAATAGAGCAGCAGGGGGGGTGAGTTGGCGTCCCCGAGTCTAGGCCGCTTGCCATCACACTCCTCTCCCGTGATAATGTAGAAACCCCAGTTTTACAGAGATCACATTCAGGTGGGTGAGTATTGACCTTGGTCCCTGAGCAAAACAAGTGGAAAAATAAAAACAAGGTAAACAAGAAAGAAAAACGTTAGACAAAGTCATCGTCCGAATTGCTGATATAATCAGGATCGGAGTTCAGTGGGACAGCGGCCAGGTCCGCCTCGGGGTCTTTGTATTGAATGGACACAAAGTGAGTGGATACCATTTTACCAACGGCCCGAAACACCATAGGTAATACACATGAAAATAAAATCATAACAGTCAATAGGGCTAAACCAAGATTAATGAGCACACTCCGCCAGGAGGACAGGAGCCAGTCCAGACCGTGAGGAGTGTCCGTGACATTGTCCGCTTGCATGGCGTCCCGGAGTCTAGTCAGATTGGCTATGCCCTGTTGGATAGGACCTCCGTCCTCATCATTAGCCGGAATATATGTACAGCAGGACGACCCAATGATCGTGCCTACGCCTCCCACAGACGCGGTCAGGTGGTCCAGGACCAACCGGTCCTGAAGAACAACAGCACGTAGGTCGTGAAGTTCAACTCTCTGTGATTCAAGTATGGCCACTGTGGTATTGACAAAACCTGAGAACCTATAGCTCAGGGTCTCCGTCCTTAGCATTAGTTTACCTACACCCAGGCTGGGGAATAATGCTAACATTATTTTCTGGCCTGTGGTCCATAATTTGTGGTCATCGGGTACATTAGTGCCCCACAGGGGGTCGTCTCGGGATTCGGAGGCAGGGGAGTTGGGCAAAGGGGGTCGCCTCGGGAACGCTGGGATTCTCTGGGTGTTGTTGTTGGCCTGCTTCACCGACGGTGGTCGCACGCCGGCCGACCTCTTCAGCGTAGGGAGCCGCGGATGGGCCTGGTCCGTCCCCATCCTCGGTGTCCTCGTCTATGGCCCTCAGTGGCAGCACCGCACGACAGTGGTAACGGCAGTGTCCGTCACCAGGAGGACGAGGAATGGGCCTAGCCAGCGCTTGGACCGCCAATGTTGTCGTCTCGTTTCCTTCACCAGGACCCAGTCGCCTGGCTTGATCTTGTGCGGAGCCGCCTGCGCAGCCTGTGGCAGGGCGCTCCTGACCTGGGCAGAAATAGAGGGCAAAAGTGCATTCATTTCCTTACAATAGGACAGCATGTCGTCATCACACAAAGGGGTGCTTGGCAGATCTCTGTTCGGGGGTCCCGCGCCCAAGTTGGGTGGTCTGGCAAAGAGGATTTCGAATGGGCTTAGGTTTGACCTTGACCTGACTCTCATGCGCATGTACATGAGGACTAGCGGCAGAGCTTTGATCCAAGACAGGTCTGTCTGTTCGCAGATTTTAACAAGTTTGTTTTTCAGAGTGCCATTCTCTCGCTCGCACGCGCCTCCGCTCCAGGGGGCGTAACTGCAGTGTTTACGTATATCAATGCCCAGAAATTCACCTACTTCCTCAATGACTTTTGCTACAAAGTGACTGCCATTGTCACTAGAGATTTTTTCTCGGGACACCCCATCGTGGCACAATTTCTGTGAGCAGAGCTTTCACCACCGCGTTGCTCGTGGCGTGTTTGCATGCAAATACTTCAGTCCATTTGGACCAGAGATCCACCAGAACCAGACAGTATTTCTTACCTTGGTGTGAGTTCAACAAAGTCCATTTGGACATGTTGAAATGGGCGCAGGGACGGAGGATGGGCAGCCTGTTGGATAATTTGGGACTTACCTGGGTTGTGCGCGAGGCAGATAGCGCATGTTTGGCAGAATCTCTGTGCAAATGCCGTAAACTCCTTCGTATACCAATTTTGTGTGATTAAATTACACATCCCTCCTTTTGAGGCATGGTCTCGACCATGTGCTAAAATTGCAAAATGTCTGAAGAAATGCCGTGGTAAGCACGGTTTTAGGTCTGGTCCCAGCCACACACCATGCCGTCGTTGAGCCCCATTTCCCTCCCACAGCATCGTCTCTGCTGTGCCTGCATTGTTGACAGAGAGGAGAAAATATCAACGTCTTGAGTGAGGTAGTGTGTGTGTGTGGGTAGAGGTGAGTATGCCGCTGCCTTGTCCGCGCGCCGATTCCCTGCAGAGATGGGATCAGTGGCATTAGTGTGGGCCTGGCATTTGCATACAGCGATCTCTAAGGGCAACATTACAGCTTTCAGCAGATGCTCAACCTGTGTGGAATTAAGAATTGGTTTACCATCAGATTTCATAAAATTGCGGTGTTTCCACAGTGCCCCCCAGTCGTGCACCACAGAGAAACCATAACGCTTATCACAGAATATGTTAACAGTTTTGCCCGCTGCCAGCTCACAAGCCCTGGTGGGCGCGATCAGTTCAGCGGTTTGTGCTGAATGGTGGTGGGGCAAACTACCAGAGTCTATAGTATCAAAATCAGAGCACACAGCATAGCCGACTCGGTTCTTCCCAGTGTTGTCACGTGACGCGGATCCTTCTGTATAAAAAATCAACTCAGGATTAGTCAGAGGTACCTCTTTCAGGTCTGGCCTGGGAGTGCATATCTGTTCTATTGTGGCGATACAGCAGTGTTCCTCCCCTTCCTCTGGCGTGGGCAGCAGTGAGGAGGGGTTCAGCTGTGTGCATCTTTTCACCGTGACATTGGGGAGTTCAAAGAGCACCGTGTTGTATTTCAGCCAACGAGCCGCAGAAAGGTGAGAGGTTTTCTGCTCTAGCAGGATCAGGGAAACAGCATGGGGCACAAGCAAAGTTAGTTCAGTGTATCCCACAAGGTCACGTGATGCTAGGGCCGCTTTCTCAGCGGCAGCCACAGCCCGCAGGCAGCGAGGCAACCCTGCTGCCACGGGATCGAGTTTTGCTGAGAAGTAAGCAGTGGGTCTCAGTGGCCCTCCGTGAGACTGCAAAAGTACCGACACCATGCACCCACACCGCTCATCCACAGTCTGAGTGAATGGCCGGGTTGGGTCAGGGAGACCTAGTGTGTGTGTGTAGATTTACTGTTCCGTTCATCTCCAGTTGCTTTCTCCCGGATCGTCCTCAATTCATATTGTGGGCTTTGGTGCCAAAGTAGAGGCTCATTTCCTCATGATCCATACTACTGTCATCCCTGAAGCAGGGGTAGTTTATCTCTCATCTGAAAAAGAAATATTAGAACACAAAAAACACAAAAAATGCCCACTTTCGCTTGTCAATCTTTTTTCCAATTGGGCAAAACATAACTGCATTGACAGACGGTGTGTGACATCAGGGCAGAGGCTGTAGCCAAATACAGACTTAACAAAATGTATGTTTCTAATTTTATACTCCCCTAAATGTGAGTTTACAAACCAAAGTTGTCCTTCAACCAACGACAGCTCACTGCGGTTGGACCGAATCACTGTCAGGACAAACAGCAGAGGGAGGGACTCCCAATATCTTCAGCAAGGTATTTCATCTCAGAGTACTTTCCGCAGAGTACTTTTCTCAGAGTACTCATCCCAGAGTACTCTCACTTTTACACCTGTTCAATAAAGCTTGTTATCTTTGAATCTCTAGTACTTACACCGTATGCTGTTGACAAAAAATAATTATTCCATGATCACATTAAAACATTACAGAAACATTTGTTATTCCATGATTCCGTTCAGCACTCCTCGTTCACTCCACACTCGCATCACTCACACAGGCCGCCTCCCCACGTTAGTATATTTGTCCAGAGTTTGTTAAGGTCAACGTAGTGTACTTGACATGACGCACAAACATATAACATACACAAACATATAACACACACAAACATATAACACACACAGAAGGCCTGTAATTTTAACTTTGTTATATTTTTCCATGTCCAATTACAATTGTCTCATGAGCTATTTCTATTGTTGCAACTTTCAGAGCCTGCAGAACATGCAGAGCTCTAAGAGGTTTTTCCTAAAAGGATCCATTTCCAACTTTAGTGTTTACCACGTGGTCTGTACTTCGGGCTTATCACAGATTGTGTCCCCTATATGTCTAATAGGCTCTTGTTACTTTAAAATGTTTTTTTCCTTCTTTTTTTTCTTTTTCAATAAAGCCAGGTCGGATTCATTAAAAAATGTTAATTAGTCTCAAACTTTAATACTTCACCTTTGTTTCACGATAAAATGTTTTTGTTGCTCATTAAGTAACACAGATACCATAGAGTAGTGCCTATCCCAATAAACGTACTCCGTTAGCCTATCTTCACTACACTGAAGCCATGAATTTTGTGAAGCGACCACTCATTTGAGAAAGGACCAAAATCTGTCACCTTATGTTTTGTTTTAAACACAGGATTTGTTGTCCCTGAATCATCCAGAATTTTAACTGTTACACCACAGATTGTTAGCGTATATTACGGGAATTCAGCATGAATTATCTCTAAAAAGTGCCAATTGCAATTTGTTCTTGTTCAAACTTACATGAGCGGTCGCTTTGGTGACGAATGTGAACCCGGGTTTGGTCAGTCGCTCGTGTTTCCTCCACGCCCGCCTCTGCCGTCCTCTGGCCCCGTGTGAGCTTGAGCGTTCCTCTGCCTTTAACGCCTCCTCCGGTGACAGTCCTTCGACACATGTCGAGCACACAGTCTTTCCGCCGGGCTGTGGAAGTTTCTCAAAGTCCGCAGGAGGCCCAGGTAGCCCAAAGCGTTCAAATAATGTTAGCCTGTGGTCCATGAGGGTTGGTTAATAACCAAACGTGCCGGTCCCAATGGCTTCTTCTGTTTGCGGTGCGGGGGCAACTTTAAACGAGGTTTCAGCGGGTGCGTTTTGTGTTTCACGCTGCCGCCTCCGTGGGGAACAGTCACGGGATTTGGAGCAGTTTGTCTCTGGCCTCCAAAGCAGTTGTCGGTGTCTCACATAATGTGTCCACGGAGTGAGTCGTGAGCTTCGGTTTCCTGCTTCCGCCGCTTCTTCTTCTGCGGTTTCCTGAGCGTGTATCTGCTTCCGCCGCTTCTTCTTCTGCTCCCGGGTTTGGGCCCACTTCTCGCGGGGTCTCAGCTGGTGCGAGCGCCGCCGTGGTTGGGGCGTGGGGCTGGTGCTGGGGCTTTGAGGCAGAGGCCAGAGCGCGGAGGAAAGCGCCGACAGACCTGGACAGGGAGAGGAAAAGGGGACAACAGTAGTCTGCTCATTTTTTTAAAAACCCAACGCCTTGTTTGGGCGCGTACTTAGCATGGAGTTCTGCTCCTTGTGTTTAGTAGGTGAGAGAGGGCGGTAGGGTGGGGGGTGTGTGGGATGTGTGTGTGTGTGTGTGTCCGCCTGTGTGTCCGCCTGTGCGTTCTCCGCTTCGGTGAAAAGCGGAGGAGCTATTGTTTTTACATATTTCTTTCTCTAACGTCTTTTGCCGTGATATTCTTAAAACCAAGTATATTTTTTTTTCCTTTCTTCTTCTAAATTATCACGCAAGATGCGTAATTGATTCAGAGACATATAGCCTCTATCGGAAAAGCCAAATGAACTGCACCATGTAGGCAAGCACTCCATAGCTTTAGATTCGAACCGTTTTTCCATTGCCATTGTAACGGGGGACGTTAACATTCCCCTCGGTGTGGCATCTCTAGATTGATTTTTCCCCATTTTCTCGTACAGAACAATGGACCTAACCCGTTTAGTCTCTCCCTGCTCTTACCCACTTTGGAGCGCTCCGTTCCCCCCCCGTGGGTTCTATATACCCAACGAGCGCGCGTTCTTGAAACGGAGCGGGCCTGGCTGAAGGCACTAGAGATAATCTTCAGGGTCGCTTACTGAGCGATACTAACACGCAGCCGCTAGCTTCAATCTAGAACAAAATACCCCAAAAAATCCCGCACACAGTCTATGCTGTGGCAATGAATGAAATACCCCAAAAAATACGTAAATAAATCAAAACCCCGTGTACACTTAAGTGCTGCCCTGGGCTTGTTACGCAAATGAAAAGACAAAACTCACCAAATCAGGTTCTTTTTGGTCTTGTGTGGCCAAAGATTCTGTTCACGCGCAGGACGAGCGCGCCCTCCCTTTGTCTCCAAATAGAGCAGAGGCTGGTGTTGTTCCAGGTCGGCCAAACGCAGCCGCTCGTCCCCGCCGAAAAGATCCCATGCCAAGACATGCCAGCAACGCCAAATTGTTGTAGAATTACATACCCCAATGAAGGAGAAAGCTCAAAGGTATTTGTCTTAATCAGGAGCGTAAGTTTATTGTACACACGTGCGGAGAGCTCACATACACAAAGCAGCGTCCATAAGCTCTGGCGCGGCCAGACCAGGTTCCTGTTTACATAGACAACACATGAAAGACAGTCACGCCCACAAAAGATGGGAGGGGGTCACCAGTACAGGAGGCGCATCCAGAGGCGAGGCGCCTAGTCCGGGGGGAGGCAATCAGACCGTGCCATAGAGATGCAAACAGAGAGACAATGGACATGCAGGATGTAGAGATGCAGACATACAGATGCAAGATGCAAAAGGGACAAGGGTGAGACAGTCATTGTCTGTAGGTGCGGGGGGAAGCCCGGCTCCTTCCTGCAGGTTTAATTGAATAGAGCAGCAGGGGGGGTGAGTTGGCGTCCCCGAGTCTAGGCCGCTTGCCATCACAGCGGTTATTAATTGTTCCATGAATTTCTGTTGGGCCAGAAGAATATTACTATTATGAGTGGGAAGTACGTTCTCTTCTGTTAATAAAATTGTACATGTGTTGTGGTCATTATCTTTTTAACTTTTACGTTATTATAATGTGATAAAACATTGTAATGGTTTATTTTTATTTAAACTGTTAAAATACAAATTGTTACATTAATCGTTGGTAAAATAAATATAAAGAAGAACATGGCTTGTGGGTGGCAATTATATAATAAACAATCGTTGTGTGGAGTTTTATCCCTGTCATAATTCAGATGTATTGAAAATGGCAGTGGCACATCTACAGTGTATTAGCCTTGCACTGCTCCATCCGTACTAAAAGTTCATGTGCTGTTTCTAAGCAGTAATGTGGACTGCTGTTGGGGCATTGATAGACAGATGCCATGTCTCTCCAGAGAGCCATTCAGTGATGTCTGAATGACACGTCTTATTCCATTGCACAGCAAGTCGCAAACATTTGAGATTCATATCCATGCTCTTTATCTCTGCAAGAGCTGTCTGTTCCCCAATCAAGCGCCTCAGTCTGGAAGCTCAAGCCCTGCTCCTCGCCATTTTACATACAGTACAAAGATTCAGGCGTAAAACCCCAAAACATTCAGTTTCCCATTTTTCAATATTACATGATAACACCGCGCGCTCCTCCAGACTGATCAGTGGCTCCTCTGCGCTGACTGAAGACTGAGGCTCTTATTCGGCAGAAAGTCGACGGCTTGGGTGAATAATTCAGCGTTCGACGGGCTCTGTGGTTCTTGTGTTTCTCTGCCACTTCCCCTCAGAGGATACACTACATGTGTTTGGGGAATGGCAGAGTTAGACACTTCAGCTGCTCACCGTTTGCAACTGCTTTGTCTGCTCCACTTTGACATACAGTACAGGCTGTTCATAGAATATTGTCAGATTGGTAGTTTTCTGCAGAAAGAGAAGTTATTTCCCATTGTTTAACTCTGCTCTGCTCCACTTCTTATTTGTGTGAGGTTTTGATTTGGCTCGTCTGTGTTTGCAGGTATGGCGGTCCTCAGCATGAGCATTCAGCACTTCCTGGGCGGTCTCATCACCACTCTCACTTTCACTACCATGATGCATTGCACTCAAAGAGCTGAGGAAAGCATCCAGGTAGGTTTGTCCTTCCTCGCTCAGAGATACCACAACAGGAGCCAATCCGCCTGGGCAGTAAACGCATGCAAGCTCTACAACATTGTGACTTGTAATGAAAGCATATGTACATCAAAGGATTTTTTTTTAGATGATGCAAAAGACGGATTTAAATATAACACGATTTTAATCTAATGAAAACACACTCTGCTTCATGTAAAAAAAAAAAAAAAAAAAAAAAGATTAAGATTAAGTGATCCTTTTATTTGTCCCACAGTGGAAAAATTTCAGTGTCACATCACTAGGAATGAGGAACACACAACCCAAGATAAGAGTGATTATTAAGTAAATAAAGTAAAATGTAAAATACAGTCTCTATCTTCATCTTAATAAAGAAGAAAAGTATAAAATATGGTAATACGTACACTCTCGTCACATATTATCGTGCCTTGATAATATCTGATTTGTCCTTTTCACTTTACATGGATCAATCTATAATTGATAAATAAATGATCAAGCTGAGTGAACCTTGTAGTTGTAGAAATTTACAATCTTCTGGGAATAATTTTACAAATTCTCAACACATTTGGAGGCGATACATTTGTTATGAATAGCATATTAAAGGTATATAGGAGGATTTTCCCAGATTTGAGGAAAGAACCGCCTTCTCCACTTTTTGAACAAAACTCTCTGGTCTTATTTGACAAGCACGTATCACCAGAATGATTGACAACCGGGAGGACCAATAGTCTCCACCCAAAAAGTAGAAAATCCTCCTATATACCTTTTAAGTTTGAAAAAGAAGTATTTAGATTTTATTATGTTTCCGTTTTTGTGTTGGAAGCCTCAAATAATGTTGTGGAAGACGTTAAAAACGACTCAAGTTTATTTTTAATGAGGCAATGATTATGCAACACAGTTAAAATCTCAAAAGCATCCATCCATCCATCCTTCCTCTACCTACCCTTTTAATCCATTTCTGGGTCAGGGGGGTGGCAATCAGAGATGCCACCCATCTTAAGTTAAGTGTCTTGCCCAAGGACACAACGACAGCAGTCATCAGTGGGAGTCGGTGGAGAAGGTGCAGAGGTGGGAATTGAACCCACGACCTTCTGGCCTTAAGGCCAATGCTCTACCAACTGAGCTACTGTCGCCCCTATCTCAAAAGCAACAAAACTTTAATTGAATAGATCAGTTTCTTATTATGTCATTCTTGTGGCTGGATAACAGCTGGTTTCCCTTGTTGTAATCATACCATTTGATGATGTTAGGTCATGTTTTTTCAAAGAGAGCTGAAATGGAACATATACAGTACCACACCTATCGTCACCTATTTGCTTGTCATCACCTCTCATCTCCGCAGAACACTGAGGGCCCCTGTTTTCACCATTGTCCAATTCTTTTCTTTCAAACACTTTCTCTGGCTCGTCTCCTCCTCTGCGGTCCCCCTCGTTCACCCCGTGTGACACCGTAAGGACCTGGGGGTGTGCTGTTAATGCGCCCATTCAGACTTGCCTCATGTCAATCTCCCAAAGTGACAAATTATCATCTAAATTACTGTCAGTTTAAAATGAAGGAAAGGGGGAGGAGGGGGTCACAGCTTGGATCACAGCAGTCAGGATCCTGTGACTAATAAAATAAATAGTCAAGAAATGTGCAGCAATCACAACACGCCATGATGAGAACCAGGGTTAATTTGAGACTCACAACACATTTCCTGTGTGCGTTTTGGTGTGTGAATCAACATGTGTGGAGGGCTTTTATGTGTGTGTGTGTGGTTGTGTGTGTGTGTATTGAAGGTAGTGTATCCAGTGACAGAAAGCCGATAGCGTGAGTGCTTGTTAACGATCCCCAGGGCAAAGAAACTGAATCTGTTAAACAAGTTGCTCAGAATAAAGGCACTCCACTTAGCTGTGGTCGCTCACACAGGCCTCTCTCAGCGCCCTCTCCTGCCGCCTCCCAGACCGCACTCGGGACTCCAGTTAGGCAAGAACAAACCACTTCATGTAGACATCAGTGACAAATCATAACGATTAAGTCACAAGTGTACTCTATCTTTATTTCAGAGAACACAATATTTGGTGTCATTCTTTCCAGACAATTGAAAGTAACGAGAGGTGTCAAGTCCTTTCCATCTGGTGTCTATTCTGATCGCATGATGCAGCCCTGCCCATCCTTTTTCCCTGTTTTAGATGCTTAAACATGCTACAGCTGCCGGAGACTGCAGCAGAAAAAAAAGTCTCCTCCATTTGGTAGAATTAAGGGGGGGAAAAAAAGTGTATTAACTCGATACTCATGAGACAAATACAATTTATTGGTGGCGACAGTATCTCAGTTGTAGAGCATTGGCCTTTGGGCCTGAAGGTCGTGGGTTCGAGCCCTCCATAACCCCTACTTCACGACTCCCACTGATGACTGCTGTCGTTGTGTCCTTGGGCAAGACACTTAACCCCACTTTGCCCCCGCTGAAAGATCTCCGCTCCTGTGGACTCACCACCTGCAGGAGGATCAGTGTACTGGGTGCAGCTCTGTCTGTGCCACCCCCCCGACCCAGAAATGGATTAAGGGGAAGAAAATGGATGAATGGATGGACAATTTATTTCTAAGCAATACAAAATCCAAAATTTAAAAATTAAAAATGATACATTTGTATTTAATGTATAGGATTAAATTATTAAATATTAAGTATTATTTTTTTAAGTGAAAAAAACTATAAATATTGTATGAATGAATACATAAATATCATAAATGCGTACATCACAATATAGTCGCTATAGTTACGAGAACAACAAAGACGCCTCCCCACAGATATGACCGAGTCCAAACAATATTGATATGACCAAGGTCACCGTGACCTTAAATACATGTTGTCTTGAGTTTGTCCAAAGTCTAAAAATGAAAGTGAAGAGTGAAGAAGTTTGGGCACCCCTGATTGTGTAAATTATGACGCCTGAGGATACATTTTGATTGTTGGTACAGTTTGGGTGCTGCAAGTCTCTTCCTGTGTCAGTCCGCTCAGGGTGAGCTAGGAGGAGGCTGCTACATTAGGTAATCTCTGTCTCTGTGGAAAAGCCAAAGGCTGCACAGATACTGTTCTCCTCTTGGCTTGTCTCCAGCATCTGGAGCCATGATCTCACGCTTTCTCTTTCGGGCGTCTTATCCTCTTTATTCTTCTCCTCCATTGTGTTCTGTTGCACTTTGGGGCTTTCAACTAAAGTTTTCACACATTTTCTGTCAACCGTCCTCAGTGTTCAGTATCGCTCACGTGATGCGCTGCAGCTGATAGGAATCGATCTCCACTTTTTAAGTTCTGCAAAAAATCTCCTTCTCACACTGCCTTTAACAACAGTGTTTGTCCCTTTTGTCTTTGGTAAACCTTTCTACCTTTTTGGGGTTTCACTTTTCTTTAGTACTTTTCATTTTCTTGTAATTAGCTGGGAGGGTGAAGTCAAACAAGTACTAGGCCAGTCACAATAACTCATTTGGAGTCACTAAGAAATTGCTCTCAAAGACCTGAAACTTATATTGTCCTTGCTCGTAACTCTGCTGATATAACTGGTAACTCAAACTTAGCTTGTAGTGAAGTCCTCAAAGAAGATTGGACGGTTTATACAAGTGTATGCAAGGTTATGTGTGTAGCACAGTTTATACATAAGAAAACTCAAAGTGCTTAACAACACATGAAAGGAAAAGTATTCACAAATAAGAAAATAAAAACATATTTGAATGGGACAGCGTGTATTAATGAACAGCAGAGCTGTAAAAACACACTCATTCACCCAATAAAAATAAATCCCTGTACATCAAAAAAGGATGTGGATGCCATCCACACACAGCTAAAAAGAACTGATTGAACTTGGATTTGAACAGTGTCAGAGTAGAAGCCTGTCTCAGGAAAACAGTTTTGTAGCTGCATAAATCTGAAATGCTGCCTCCTGTTAAGTCCTGACACTGGACACCAGCAGAAGACCGGTCCTTGTGCTCCTCAGAGTCTGAATTGGTTCATATGGCACTAACATGTCACAGATGTACATGGAGAGACTTGTCCACAAGATAAGAGAACCTTGATGCGTCCCACAGTGGGGAAATGTCATTGTTGCAGCGCATTTACAGGATAGTAACAGGACGCAAAAAATACATGAAGAGTTTAGTTTAATGCCATACTGTGAAACACTTTGGACAAAATATCTAAATTGACCGGAGACAAAGCGGCCCCTCCTGCAGGTTGATAGTTTTAATCATGTCTGTTCCTTATCGCCCTCTGCTTTCAGGCAACTCACTACAGCTTTTTGGCGACACTGGAGGTGCTGGGGAAGTTGATGTTCAGTGCTCTGGCCGGGGGAGTGGTGGACTGGTTTGGTTTCCAGGTTGCCTTCCTCTTCTTCCTCACCCTGTCAGCCGGCACAGCCCTGCACGTGTGGACCGCCACGTTCACCGGAGCTCTCAGGGAACACCAGCTGAAGGACCAGCCCAAGTGAACATTAGACCCTCGAGTCCTCTTAAGGACATTAGCCATGCCATTATTGTCCTTTGTTTGGAGATGGCCATATTTAGTTGTACACTTTACTGCATCCTGGCCTTATTTATGAGTGGGTGAAAGGCAAACTGTATGCTTGTTGTTTGGTCAAATGGATCAAGACACAATGTATTTATTTTGATGAAAGAATATTGCTTGATTTGAATAGTAGCACTCAGCTCTTGAATTAGCGCAAATAGCATCAAAGCTGTTTTATCCTCTGAGCCATTTTGAAAAAGCCAGCAATAAGCAGGCAAAGCAATACGGCTACTCTCAGATGCTTGTTTTAACGTGTACAGTATTTATGTCTTAAGTTGTATGGTTTACAGTCAATTGCTGCTACCTCACAATCCATAGTCATAGTAATACTTGTAAATTAATGAAATCATAACTGTTTTTAAAAGCTTTTGAATAGTAGCACTGGTTCTTTGAGGGCTTAAACAGAACTAATGGGCCCAAGTTAGTTTTGTGGCACACTGTGACTAAATTGATGAAGAATACATTTATTCTTTGTACCAGTCAAAAAAACCTAAACCTCTATCCAGTTGTATCAAAATCTTTCTTGGGCTCTTTTGGTTCTCAAGTAATAATATAATATGCTTTATGATGTGCGTCACAGAATGTCTGCCTTACATACTGCATGGTGCCATTCAATTATAAGCCGTTATCCACAACACTGTTTTTACTTCTGAATATATCATTATTACGCACATTTGGACCTTCTCTAGTCCACTTTTGGAACTATGCTGTATAGATTTGTACAGCGGGCTGTAATACTACTTCAAATATGATGCTTTTGCAAAAAGGCCTCAGTTAAATGGGCGAAAACTCAAGGTGTGTCTTCAAATCTTGCTGCAACAGCAGGTCACTTATCATCTTGGTAACAAGATGAAAAGTGTTTGGAAAAATAAATTCACTTCTACTGATTTAAATAAAAATAAAAAATAGTTGTAGTTTATATTACCTCAAAAACTAGTCAAGTATCCACATGGAAATTTCTGCCTTTGCTTATTGAGAATTGTTAGGAATTATTGTTTGCATCAAGTCTTACAGGGATTGGGAACTTTCCAGAACATTGTGGAAACACTTTCAATAGGGCTTAACAATAATGCAAGTGATGCCAAGTGATGATTGGTAGTCAGTAGTAAGTTATTTTGTATTTTACTGGACTATAGAGTATTAAGCTACTTGCAGAGAATATGACGTGCAAAGCATACAAATAAATATTACGCATCAAACTGAAAATGCAGCGTGTCATTTGTAACATCTGCCTGTTTTGTGTTTTTCCCTAAGGGACAGATCCTGTGTGGTCTTAAAGGAACGCTACCACCTTTGAAAAGTGTGCTGCTTATAGCTGCTCCACACAACAGTGGAAATCCTGTGCAGTGAAGTGGCTGAGGGCTATAGGAGTGAATAGAAGCCATGTCACAAGATCCCCACTGCACACAGCTCTAATGACACAACAAATGCACTGAGGGAGATTAGTCCAGCTTACACTGGCCCTATACACCTCCACTTCACACTTTCTCACAGCCCGCTAATTTAACCCATGTTTGTACAGCAGAAAGAAGCTTCTAACATGGACTTAAGTCCTTCAAGAAGACCGTATTAGTCTGAACAAGTTGTGAAGGGAGGATTTAGGATGACAAGGAATTGCCCGGGAAATCCAAAATGGAAAAACAAATCAGTGTGTCTCAGTACTAACAGAAAAGGCCTCTCACATGAATGTGCACTGTACAGGCTAATGCGTACGGTAATGAGATGAAGTTAAAGATTGTATGGAAGAAATTGCTCAATGCTAATGTTTCTCAACATATTTTTTTAAACCTTTTTTTCAAACATTACTTGCTGGTAAATAAAGATTAACTGATTGTAACAATAAAGCACATTTTCAGCACCAGATAAAACAAATATTGTGAAACATGCTGGAAATGGCAGTGGGTCCTGAATCAGAGCCGAGAAAATGGTCCAAACCACCAAATTATTTATATTATGTATTTATTAACTATATTATATGTGCTTTCTTTATGAATTAGGGTGGCTTTTATGAAAGGATTTTTTCTATAAAAAAAAAAAAACATTTCACTGGTGGACATCACATGTAGAAGAGGAAACTCAAGAGTGACAAAAGGTAGTCAAGTGGTTTGGATCTGAAGGGCTTAGAGTGAAAAAACCAGAAACCTCTTACTGCGGTTGCCAGATTGGCTAAAACTCTGCACAATGAGGTAACATGGAGTAAGGCCTGTGTGGTAAATATACGGTTGATCTCATGTCACATTATCAGACATTTATACAGTGAAATGTTCCTATTTCCTCTTTGAGTGAATTCCTAGGCTGTTATCATCAGACTCAATCTTTAAATGTCCAGGATTTATCTTTGGCTGCTCATATTCAGTTTCATTCCCGACAATCAGCGGAGGTCATTAGTCTGGTCACACCAACTTTATGCACCTCATTCAACATGTGCCAACTCCACAGGTGAAACCCAACTCCTCTCAGTCACAAACAGCATTTCAGCAGAGGGCGTATGGACCGGGACCAGGAGCAGTATAAAGCTGGGGTACCTAACTTTGTGTTCCCATAAATAATGCATTTTGTTTGTTCCAGTAAAAAGATTCTTAGAAGAACTATAGAAAGACAAAGACAGCACATCATGACAGATTTATTTATCTGATTAGAAAATGTGTTATCGTTTGTATACTGGTAAGAAAGAGCTCCAAGAATTTGACACTTTGGGATCAGAGCTAAGAAACGGTGGTCCTCTTTTCTCACTTTTTCCCTTTCCGGTCTGAAAAGTTGATCTGAAATTGATCTGAGGATGGAACCTCCTTTGAGAGCGAGGAACTACAGTAGGTAATGATGGAATCTATTGCATGGTTGTTTATTGTAGTTTTGTGGATATTTTTTGACGGTTACCCCAGCTTTTGATGAGGCCAGTTACTACAGAGGGAGGTGTAATTATTATATTAACTAAATATGAATTGTCTATTGACTTATTTATATTTTATGTATGAATGTCTTTAACTTTTTATTCATTTGTTAATTTGTCTATGTCATCATATTACATAACTGCATTTTGTCACTTAAAAAATATGCTTAATCAGAGGTTACATTAACTCATTTACATTTACTTGTGATTAAATAAATTGTACTGGTGCCACATTTTTATTCCTCCGTTCATAATAAATACATAACTTTTACTTGAGGAAAGGTATGATGACTTTTTATTGTTTACTTCTGTTTTTATTAAGTGTATAGTTGTCTGACTCATAGACTTAATATTAATTAGTATTAATATTCTGACTACATTCACTTCCATCGGTTTCTCCAAATACTTTTTCCTCATTAAGTCATTTGTTAAAGCTGCAATGTTCTTCAAAGTGTGTATGATTACGTTTTCTGTGAATTTCTTGAGTACAGTATCCATGCTGTTGCGCTGGCCCATGATGCACCTCCAGAACATCCTTTGAGGAGGGGGGGCTCTCTCCCTGGGGACTGGATCTGTGAGAGGCTGTGAGGGCCGAGCTCGGGGAATGCTACATGTTTTAATCTCAGCAAACAAAGACACTGTATCGCTTTTTACCCTGCTCCTTTGTCTGCAGGCACCTCAGGGGGGTAGAGGTGTTGGCTTTTTGCACAGCTTTTGTCCCGTAGCCAGCAGAATGGCCTTATGGGAAACCTGAGTGGGAGGTGGAGGAGCCATGGGCAGCATCATGTGTCACTGTAGTTTCCTCCACTGGTGTTTACTTTTTGTTTGTTTGCAGAATGAGGGACATAGACACCGCTCTCTGTGTCTTCAGCCAGGATCGTCCTCAGCTCTTCCCACAGATCCAGCCTTTGTTTTTGCTTCTAATACTTTTAACATCCACAGTAGCCTCACACTCTTCTCTGCAGTTGCTCTTGAAAATGGGTGGGAAGAAAAAGAGCTTTTATTTGAACACACATACAGTATGTTCAAATATACAGAAAAAACCCCAGATATTGATCGATACAAATCCTAGTGACAAAACCCGCCTGAAACCACATGTTTAAGTCAACACTAAAGCCAGATTTTATGTGCGTTATATCACATCAGAGGGAAGTAAAATCAACAAGATACACCATAGCAACAGAATTTAAACGTTTAAAAAAATCTATTGTACTGTGATTTTGTGTCTTGTACTTGGACAGCTGAATTTCTCTCAGGGGATTTAAGTATTTACTCATCTATATATAAAGACATGGAATGGTCGGATAAACTGTTCTGCACGCATGAAATAAAGATTAACTCAAACATGCTTTAACACTAAAATGTGTGTCTTTTTTCCCCCCAGCAAATACATGATACAACATGAGATTAAAAGATATCAAGCCACAGCGGACTGTTATTATGGAGGCACATGATTGAATGAATAATTATCCTATTAAATGTAAACAGGAGGAAGAAACCAGAGCTGAGAAAGAGCAAGAAGGAAGCACGAATGCAGGTGTGAAGGTTTAAGAAACAACAACCGACAGAAACTTTAGCCCGAAGAGAGAGGAGCAGCCGAGTATTTTCTTCCACTGCGAAAGGCCAGATCTGTTACTGCGGCTGTCACTGGACCGCTGCTCTACTGTGGGAATGGCCAGTGTCAAGGAATCTCCTCCTGTATTTATTGTTGAAGAGAAGAGGACACATAACAAAGACAGAAGATTAAAATGGAGCCTTAAAGAAGCTTCATTTGCCTGTGATATTGTTGTGGGGGGTTCAACATGGATGCTGTCACAGCTGTGGGCACAGGTGGAAGTTTGAGTTATTATTATAGGGACATGACTACTGTTTTTCCTTTTCTGGTTCTGAGATTCTCAAAAGATAAAGTCTCATTGTGGGGGCATTTTTTCCTCAAGGGAAGAAAAATCCACTGATTGCCAACTTTGATTACAGTCTGAGTGGAGACTGCAGGGGCTTTGATGTGTGCTTCTTTAGATCATCTTTTTGAGACT